CCCCCCCCGCCTTGCCCCTGTCATACTTAAGAGCAAACTGCTGCTATCTGGGCTGGGTTAGGATCTGTTCTGCCAAGAGGTGGAGGGATGGAGGCTGACTTCTGACAGCATTGCCAGTCTGGGAGATTTCTGTGCTGTGGCAGCCCAGGAACAGTACAGGTTAGAACTTCTACTCAACTCTCCACTTGGTCTTTGGTGCCCCGAACCGGAATGACCTCAAGGTTCCTCACTCCCTTCTTCCTCCTTCCAGAACCAGCAGTCATCGTCAGCTCCAACCTCGCAGGAGAGAAGCAGCAACCCTGCCCCCCGCAGGCAGCAGGCGTTTGTGGCCCCGCTCTCCCAAGCCCCCTACGCCTTCCAGCACGGCAGCCCACTACACTCGACGGGGCACCCACACCTGGCCCCAGCCCCTGCTCACCTGCCGAGCCAGCCCCACCTGTATACGTATGCTGCCCCCACCTCTGCTGCTGCGTTGGGCTCCACCAGCTCCATTGCTCATCTCTTCTCCCCACAGGGCTCCTCAAGGCATGCTGCAGCCTATACCACCCACCCTAGCACTCTGGTACACCAGGTCCCTGTCAGTGTTGGGCCCAGCCTTCTCACTTCTGCCAGTGTGGCCCCTGCTCAGTACCAACACCAGTTTGCCACCCAGTCCTACATTGGGTCTTCCCGAGGCTCAACAATTTACACTGGATACCCACTGAGTCCTACCAAGATCAGCCAGTATTCCTATTTGTAGTTGGTGAGCAGAGGGAGGAGGGGTCATGGCTGCCTGTTCCTGGCTCTGAGTTCTTAATAACAGGCTATGACGAGCTCTCCTCCCTTAAGCCCCTCTTGAAACTCCTTAGCCAGCAACTTGTTCTGCAGGGGCCCACTGAAGCAGAAGGTTTTTCTCTGGGGAACCTGTCTTAGTGTTGACTGCATTGTTGTAGTCTCCCAAAGTCTGCCCTATTTTTTAATTCTTTATTTTTGTGACAGCATTTTTGCTATTTGGAAGAGTTCAGATGCCCATCTTCTGCAGTTACCAAGGAAGAGAGATCGTTCTGAAGTTACCCTTTGAAAAATATTTTCTCTCTGACTTGATTTCTATAAATGTTTTTAAAAAACCAAGTGAAGCCCCTCTTTATTTAACTTTGTTTTATTGTAATTGCTGGTCAGAGGAAAAATGCTGATGGAAGGATTTGAAATCCGGTAACAAGTGAGAAAAGAAAAATCATCACTTTTTGCTTGTTTAAAAACCAAGATTTAATTGCCTATTTTAAGAGCAGCTTACACAAGTCTGTATCTGACTATCAGGCATTTCTCCTCTCAAAATTTTACCTTTCTTATGGGACATTAGACTTACAGTGTTTTAGCTTTGTTTTCATGTCACGTTACACTTACTGGGCAATTGTTATTTTTGCAAAACTGGTAATATACTGCTCTGTGTTACTCTTGGGATTCTCTCAGTTGCTCCTGTGTTTATTGTAAAGTAGTGTTAAAAAGGCAGCTCACCATTTGCTGGCAACTTAGGTGAGAGAATCCATACCTACCGTGAAAGCACTAGGCATTACTCTTTTTAAATGAAGTACCGTGCATTCTTCTTAAGTTATTTTTTAAAAGTCTTTCTCTCTTTCTCTGATTCAGCTTAAATTTTATTATTGGAAAAGCCATTAAGGTGGTTATTATTGTATGGTGGTGGTTGTCTTATTATATGCAAAATCTCTTTGTATTATGCGATATTGGTATTGATGAGCTTTGCCTAAAGGTTGTTGGCATTGGTGAGCTTTGCCTAAAGATTAATATGAATTTTCAATAATACACCTCTCTCTCTCTTTGCCTCATCTCTCCCTTCTGTTCTAAGTGATTTATTTGGGGAGAAAGCTAAAGAATCTGAAACCAGATAAGAACGTTGTGTATAGCTTTTATACTTTAAAGTAGCTTCCTTTGTATGCCAGCAGCAAATTGAATGCTCTCTTATTAAGACTTATACAATAAGTGCATGTAGGAATTGCAAAAAATATTTTAAAAATTTATTACTGAATTTAAAAATATTTTAGAAGTTTTGTAATGGTGGTGTTTTAATATTTTGCATAATTAAATATGTACATATTGATTAGAAAAATATAACAAGCAATTTTTCCTGCTAACCCAAAATGTTATTTGTAATCAAATGTGTAGTGATTACACTTGAATTGTGTATTTAGTGTGTATCTGATCCTCCAGTGTTACCCCGGAGATGGAATGGATGTCTCCATTGTATTTAAACCAAAATGAACTGATACTTGTTGGAATGTATGTGAACTAATTGCAATTATATTAGAGCATATTACTGTAGTGTTGAATGAGCAGGGGCATTGCCTGCAAGGAGAGGAGACCCTTGGAATTGTTTTGCACAGGTGTGTCTGGTGAGGAGTTGTTCAGTGTGTGTCTCTTCTTCCCTATCTCCTCCTTCCCTTATTGTAGTGCCTTATATGATAATGTAGTGGTTCATAGAGTTTACAGTGAGCTTGCCTTAGGACGGACCAGCAAGCCCTTGTGGACCCTAAGCTGTTCACTGGGATTTATCAGAACAGGATTAGTAGCTGTGTCGTGTAAATGCATTGTTGTCAGTTTCCCTGCCTTCGTTGAAAAATAAAAACAGCAGCTTTTCTCCTTTAGCACCACGTCTACCCCTTTCCAACCCGGAATCTCAGCTGAGTTCTCACAGAAGCATTTTCCCCATGTGGCTCTCTCATGGCGCATTGCTACCTTGCTTCTGTGAGAATTTGGGAAGCAGGTGAGAGGAGTCAAGCCAATATGAAATATGTGGTTGTTTTCTTTTTCTTTAAAGTATGTGCAATCACTTTTAGAATGAGATTTTTCTTTTCCTTTTCCCATGTGGCAGTCCTTCCTGCAAATAGTTGCCATTCCTAGTAAAATATTTGCTTGTTGAAAAAAAACATATAACAGATCTGTTTATACCAAAGAGCCTGTTGTATTGCTTACCATGTCCCCATACTATGAGGAGGAGTTTTGTGAGGCCGCTGGTGACAGGGAACTCACAGGAAGGTTTCTGAGCCGGTGAAGAATATTAAAAAGGAACCAAAGCCTGTTGAGTCATCGGGCTTTTGAGGTTTCTTTTTAACAACTTGAATATTCTTGGGGCTGTGAAATTGTCCTTGTACTCTCAGCTCCTGCATGGATCTGGGTCAAGTGGAGGGTACTGGGGATGGGGATGTTCCTGCCCATAAAAGATTTGGGGGAAGAAGGTTAACTCTAAGATATAGAAGTGTTCCATCTGAATTGAAAATTATGTACTTGAGGGCTAAGTCTAGGACTGGTTCTTTGTAGAGATGGCGTCAAGGAGGTGCAGGATGGAGATGGGAGATTTCATGGAGCCTGGTCAGCAAGCTCTGTACCGGGTTGAACACCGAGGAGCTGTCAAGGTATTTGGAGTTTCTTCATTGTAAAGAGTAAGGGCTTCCACGATGGGGCAGATAGTACAGTCAGTGCAGCCTACCAGGAACATGTTGGTGTTTTCTGCTTTTTCTTTTTCTTTTTTTTTTTGTGGTCATTCTCCTGAGTTCGGTTTGCACCGCTATATTGGGGAAGATACCCAAGCAGTTTGTATAGTTTCCGTCACTAGTGTTACACGGTTTTCTGGTCAACGTGTGTGATCGTTGTGTTTCCCTTTTTTGCCAAGCATATTTTGATTTTCTTGTTCAAAGGCAGACCTAGTTTCTAGTAGAAACATTTTTTGTTCCTTACCTTTCCTCTACAAGGGATAAGATTTGTTGTTTTTGTAACAAAGGAGATGCAGGAAAAAAAGTACAAAACACTCCACTCCTGCCCCCCTGTCCAATAAGTAGATAACCACTTAAGATGTGAGTCTTATAACTTCATGGGGAAAAGACAATACCAAGAGTGTGTATTGTTATCTGCAACATCCTTACTAGCAGTGTGTGGCTTTAAGAGTTTTAGAAATTTTCAGCCTTAGTCTACAAATTGGCATTTCAGATTTACCAAGATAAAAATCCATCTGTGTCCGCTCAATGTGTATGTGCTCAATGTGGCTTTAGATTCTGTCCCTGGGGCTTAACATTGCCAGCCCTGACAGGATGGGGGGAAGCCCTGCGAATTCAGTGAGCAGTGGCCTAACCTCAGACCAGCTTAAGGCTTTACGTCCTTTCAGAACTTGCATTTCCAGCTTTTCCCCTTCAGGGTGAGGGAGAAAGTGGGGAAGGTTTAAGTACAGCCACTCTGGGCTCATTGGGACACTTGATCACTCCAGAGTTTTAATAGCTCCCAGGAGGGGGATACTGCTGTCAGTGCTCAGCTCAGATACCAGCCCCAGGAATAAGAACTCCCATTTCAAACAGTTCTGGCCATCCATCGTCCTCCACTAGAGGGGCTCAGCTTGACTGCCCTTAGCCAGGCAAGCACAGTAATGTGTGTTTTAGTCAGCATTATTATGCAAAAACCCACTGATTAGGTTGGTTGGTTTTAGGATAGGAAATGAAATTGCCTCTCAGTGACAGGAATGGCCCAAGCCTGCTTCCTGTTTTGGTTTTTGTTTGTTGTTTTTATTTTAACTGATGGATGGTGCAGCATGTCTACATGGTTGTTTGTTGCTAAACTTTATATAATGTGTGGTTTTGATTCAGCTTGAAAAATAATCTCACTACATGTAGCAGTACATTATATGTACATTATATGTAACGTTAGTATTTCTGCTTTGAATCCTTGATATTGCAGTGGAATTCCAACTCTATTAAATGTATTTGATATGCTAGTTATTGTGTGCGATTTAAACTTTTTTTGCTTTCTCCCTTTTCTGGTTGTGCGCTTCCTTTTACAACAAGCCTCTAGAAACAGTTTCTGAGAATTATTGAGCTATGTTTGTAATGCAGATGTACTTAGGGAGTATGTAAAATAATCATTTTAACAAAAGAAATAGATATTTAAAATTTAATACTAACTACGGGAAAAGGGTCCATTGTGTAAAACATAGTTTATCTTTGGATTCAATGTTCGTCTTTGGTTTTACAAAGTAGCTTGTATTTTCAGTATTTTCTACATAATATGGTAAAATGTAGAGCAATTGCAATGCATCAATAAAATGGGTAAATTTTCTGATTCATGTGGCTGTCTTTGACTTCTGTTAGAGGGTTACAAAGGGGATCAACAAATGGCATCTTTGGAGTGGCTAAATATATCGCATCTGAAATGAACGTCAGTGGTGGGTTAGAGGCAAATCCATCTTTCATACAAATCTCCACAATGGAAATGAAACAGGGTTGGTTGAAAACACTTCCCAGGAATGGAGTGTCCGGGCCCTAGCTGAAGATCATCTGGTCCTGGCCCTTTGAAGGAGGCACAGCTTCTGACCCAGGATAACTAAACTTTGTTTCCTAGCATGTTCCAGCAACCATCTGAAGTATCATAATGAAAATCAGAATCACCACAGCAGACGCTGTTTTTCCCTCCTTTCAAGCTGCATTGTTTGAAGCATAGTCCTTTTGGAGAAGGACTCCGATTAGATTTCTCTTGATTCTAAAGTGAAGAAAATTTCTCCTGATGAAGAATTAGAGATTTGTCTAAATCGATCACTGCAGGTCCCTGAATAAATGCTATATATTCGTTTGGCTTCTTTTGACACATGTGTTTCAGGCCACATCTACCCTACAGTGGCCATTAATTCATTGTGGGGTTCTGCAGTCGTGGTTGGGGTATAGAAATGAGACGCATTTAGAAACACCGTTTTGGACCATAACCTAGAAATGATCAATAGGCTCTTCTCTCCCATTGGTAGGGAAGTCAGAACACATTTATTTGATTTCGACTGCAACACATAGATTTTTAAGATTGTTTTTTTTTCCTAAATAAATGAAATGAGGGTGAACTCACTGAACGTTCCCCAGTTTTGGTAAGAGAATATACCTAGAAGAGTTCAGGTAAGAGAAAGGCAAATAGAAAGGCTCTGCTATCAGTCTCACTTCCCAGGTAATCAAGAATGAATTTAACTTGCCAGTGATCTGGGTTTTTTTGGTATTTTTGTTTGTTTTAAAATCTCAGTTATATTCTCTTCCTTAGGCTAAATCAGAGAGAGATTGGGATAGCCCCTTAAGTAGTTGGGTAGTCTGTGGGGAAATCTGTGTTTTAATGATGAAAACCCCTGTAAATTCAATCTGCTTGGCTGGCTTTGTGGAAAATTTTCCACAGGACGTGAGGTCTAAGCCTTGGTTTCCCTGTGAATCCCGAGATGACACCAGGTGCTTATCACAAGATGGCGCCAATGAGCTATAGAAGAAGGTAGTGCAGACTTGACCACTGTGATCTTTTCTCCCACCCCTTCCCCTCAAACCTCATCTCCCCTGCTTCCAGCTTCCACTGAACAAGGCAGAAAACAATTCATGCTACTATTGCTGGGGAAGGAAAAGATTAATGATGGAAGTCTTTTAAGAAACCAGCGCTGGAAGGAAGCATGCATTCTCCTAAAACAGGAATAGAGTTTGCTGAGTGTACTCCGGGGCCCCTGCCTCCTGCTGCTAGCTCCTTTTTCTGGGTGACTGCCCAGAAGTCCTCTGCCCCGGGGTTTCATCTCCTTCCCCTCTCCCTGGGAGCCTACAGCCTAGGCGGGAGGTGGTTAAGGCTTCTTCTGGCTGCTCTGCCATAGGGCCATCTGTGTTTGATCAATCCAGGCGGAAAGGAGGGGGTGGGGGCTGTAAAGAGACCGTGAAAGCATTCCAGAGTAGTGAGAGAGACCCGAGATCCAGAAAGAGAGAAGGCACCGCCCCCACCCCGCCTCCAAAGCTAAGCGGCGGGCTTGAGTGGGAAAGGCACAGGACCGCACGCTCCTACTCCGGCCCCCTTTCTCCCTCGGCCATGGGGCCCTGCACGCCTCTCCTCACCTTGTTCCTTTTGTCATGGCTGCGACCCCTTCAGGGACAGCAGCACCACCTTGTGGAGTACATGGAACGCCGACTAGCTGCCTTAGAGGTGAGTGACTCCTTTCTTTCCCGGGCCAGGCGGGAAGGACTCCACATCTCCTGTTGATTCACCCAGTGTGTCAGGGATCTGGGGACATGACACGATGGGGCTCTGTGAGGACCGACAGAAAACTCTATCTTTTAATAAGAGTATCCTTACAATTGCAAGCCCTCCTCTTTCCCCACGGCCACAGAGCCATTCCAAAGCAAACAGGCCTTTGTGTTTTACCCTGAGATGGCATGGAATAAGGGGACAGTGGACATGAGAGCTAGCATGGTAAGAAAGCATCTCAGGGTGAGCTGATGATTCTGTGAGAGTTAGAAGTTCCCAGAGAATCTGCAGCTTTCTGTCTTTTTAACAGTTTGAAGTCTGTGCCATTCCCGAGTTGAAATCTGTTCATTCCCAGGAGGAGAAGTATACAGTGGAGCAGAAACCCCTCATGCACTTAGGCCCCCCCGGCGGCTCAGAGGACATGAAGTGGGGGTAGAGGCCTAGGTGATCCGAGCCCGGCTTTTTGCACATTTAGCATCTCCAAACATCTGGTTTCCTTTCAGTGGGGGTTGAAGGGGAGTTGATGCCTGGCTGAGTTGGTGCTCTTTCCCGTTCCTCACTCCCTGGTTGGGCCTCTCCCTGCCTGGGAGTTGTAACCCTTCAGCCCCTCTCCTGGCCCCCATCCCTGCAGGAACGGCTGGCCCAGTGCCAGGACCAAAGTAGCCGGCACGCCGCTGAGCTGAGGGACTTCAAGAACAAGATGCTGCCGCTGCTGGAGGTGGCCGAGAAGGAGCGTGAGGCACTCAGAACCGAGGCCGACACCATCTCGGGCAGAGTGGACCGTCTGGAGCGGGAAGTTGACTATCTGGAGACCCAGAACCCAGCTCTACCCTGTGTGGAGGTTGATGAGAAGGTGACCGGAGGCCCTGGGATCAAAGGCAAGGGTAGAAGAAATGAGAAGTACGATATGGTGACAGGTAAGTGGTCCAAAAGCAGAGCCCTGACACTCTCAGGACCTGTATTCTGCCTTGGTTCTTTCCCATTTTTCTCCTTGTCCCGGAGGCCACTTTGGCGCGGTTTTCTGGAATCTGCTTTAGGGGAATCTCTATAATGACAGGGCCATTGCGAGCGTTTCTGGGGACCCAGGCCTCTGTGGCGCCCTTTTCCCTATCCTCCCTAAGAGTGGAGGCATCCACTGGCAAATGCCCACTGTCCTCCAGATGGCCCATCCTGGGGGGTTCCCGCATCGGGCATCTAACTCTTGCCCGTATTGCCTTGTCCTGTGCTTTTCTCCCTCCCCACCAGACTGTGGCTACACAATCTCACAGGTGAGATCAATGAAGATCCTGAAGCGGTTCGGTGGCCCAGCTGGTCTGTGGACCAAGGATCCAATGGGGCCAACAGAGAAGATCTATGTATTAGATGGGACACAGAATGACACAGCCTTTGTCTTCCCAAGGCTGCGGGACTTCACCCTGGCCATGGCTGCCCGGAAAGCTTCCCGGATCCGGGTGCCCTTCCCCTGGGTAGGCACGGGGCAGCTGGTGTACGGTGGCTTTCTTTATTACGCCCGGAGGCCTCCTGGAGGACCCGGAGGGGGAGGGGAGCTGGAGAACACCTTGCAGCTCATCAAATTCCACCTGGCAAACCGGACCGTGGTGGACAGCTCAGTATTCCCGGCAGAGGGTTTGATCCCCCCGTACGGGCTGACAGCAGACACGTACATCGACCTGGCCGCTGACGAGGAGGGCCTTTGGGCTGTCTATGCCACTCGGGAAGATGACAGGCACTTGTGTCTGGCCAAGTTAGACCCCCAGACCCTGGACACCGAGCAGCAGTGGGACACACCATGTCCCAGAGAGAATGCCGAGGCGGCCTTTGTCATCTGCGGCACCCTGTACGTTGTCTACAACACCCGCCCTGCCAGCCGCGCCCGCATCCAATGCTCCTTTGATGCCAGTGGCACCCTGACCCCCGAGAGGGCGGCCCTCCCGTATTTCCCCCGCCGATACGGGGCCCATGCCAGCCTCCGCTATAACCCCCGAGAGCGTCAGCTCTATGCCTGGGATGACGGCTACCAGATTGTCTATAAGCTGGAGATGAGAAAGAAAGAGGAAGAAGTCTGAGGATCTAGCCTTGGTCGGTGAATCTCTCTCACCTCTACACATTTCTGTCCCCACAACATTTCCTGCTCCTTGTTGTCCAGATGTGGGCAACTTGTGCTTCGGGGCCTGTATCTGCAGCCAACGGAAGCCAAATTCTCATAGCCCCTCCATTTCCTGGGGGACCTTAGATCTTCAGAGACCCTTTTAGAGCTGAAAGAGAGACAGCCCTAAGTGGCCACTGCCCTCCTGCCCCATGGCAATGAATTTCAGGCCAAAGACCACGCAGACCCAGAGCTCTGGACCATCGTATGGGGGCAACCCCAGCAAATGGGCAACAGAATATTTCTTGCCTCCGTGTGAGTCCGGTGTGGGGAGAGGGTTCTAGGAGGAGGAGACTTTCAACTCTGGCTGTCTCCCTTCTCCCTTTAGTGCCCCGGAGAACGGGGCTTTCTCCACATCATTTTGTATTATTGCAACATTTTGCATTAAAAGGAAAATCCACTGCTCCTCGCCTGTGTTTGTTTGGGGTGGCCCTCCGATCGGATTTCTCCCCGTGACCCTCCATTTTCCTCCTCCACCCCATTGCCACTCCTTAAGCCACATCGGGGACTTGGCTGGGCTCTCCTGCTGAGATAGAGGGGACTTCTCTAGTTACAGATTTACCGTGCGGCGCCTGGGGAAGCACACAATCCCGCCGCTTCAGGAGGCCGGCGGAAAGGCTTCCCTCCACAGCCGCCTCTCGTCCCCGGCGGCCCTCCCAGAGCCGCGGCCCTCCCAGAGCCGCGCTTGGCCCCGCGCCCCTGGCCGCCAGCCTGGGGCCCAGGGGCAGAGCTTCCAATTCCAGTTCACAGAGGGTTTGAACCAGAAAATGGATCCGAGTGGCAGCGGAGCGCAGTGTGAAGACCAGAGCCCCAACTGTGTTTTGGGAAAGAACTTCCGGTGTCACTTCTGAGGTGGCCTCTGCCCCGGCCCCAGCCCCCACTGCCCTCTCCGGCTCGGGACAGCCCGCGGGCCCGGTTACACGGTTACACAATCGAGCTTGCTCTGAACCGCG